TGATTACAATATGTTACTTCGTTTGTCCTGTAAATGGGGTTATGTTGATCATGTTACCACTATTCACTTTGGTAATAAAGGCACAAAAATATAATGTTATATAAGGAAATATATGTAAAACAACAATTTATAGTTTTGAAGTGGTGTATTTAGGGGGTAGGTAGGAGAAAGTGGTTGACGATGGATCATATCCCTTATAATACTATATAATCTACAGATAATAAATTGCAAAAACGTCAAAAAATATATTCTAGTATATCACATATTTTTCATGAGCTAATATCTAAAATTCTAGATATGTATTAAGTTAGAACTGAACAACTTAAACATATGGTAGTCAGTCAGTTACTATATTAGAATTCAGAATACAAAAAGTTCTATTAAAATCTAGTAAAAATTAGATAGAATTCTTTGTATTTAGTACTATACCTAAATATCTGACTACATTGGTTCGGGTATAGCAAAAGAATTGTCGACAAATATACTTTATACAGTTTTGTTCTCGAAGTTGTCGTTATAATCAAATAAGAATTATTATTTCTTATTTAAAAAAAAAAAGAACTTCGACGTTTTTTCTCCTTTACTTCACTAACCCGAAATAAGCGTGAACAATGTCTGTTGCTTCGATGAATAGATTGCAGTTTTCGAATCGAGTGCTGCTATCGATGCATACTTTTAACGTATTGGATGGTGTAGTATTTATTAGTTTTTTTATGAAAGAAGAAAGAAAAACATATTAGATTATATACTCGACGTTGAAACGATTAAAAATGGAATACTTTGTGTATATATAAAGATATCCAGAAAATAAGTGTTTGCTAAAATTGATTATGCCACGAAGGCGTGTTCTGGGGAACCGCTCTTTCGGAAAGGTACAAACATGACAAGGATACGGATTATGTTAGCCCATGATCGATGCAGATGAGGCACCTACAAGAAAAAACAAATTTTTAACCACCACCTCTAGATTTAAACAGACAAAAACAGACAAAAACTATAAAAGAAATTTGACTACAAAAATGTGGTAAGATTTCAGATACTTTTAGAAGTCCAAAATAACATCTCGCTACAAGTATTGGGGTGAGACCAACAATTCTCATGATACATCAATGCACCAGCAAAAATTTTAAAAACATATATTTAACATGTTTAAAAGATACAGAATACTCTTATACACATTAGTCAATTTAAAATGATCACATTATGTTTCACCTACTAAAACATAATACTAACTTTGAATATTACAAGTTCAAAAGAGTCGAAAAAAATGATCTAAAACTTAACATTCTAAACTCACTTAAATTCATTAGATATGCCCTCAAGGAATCTTTTCTCGTTTTTATACCGAGATTATCAATAAGTCATTGGAACTATAAAATTAATTTTTATTGCAGAAATTGAAGCTTTTTTGAGGCAATTGTTTTGAAACTAGTATGTAATAAAATAATTTTAAATTAAGTTACTTGTTATTTAATTTAAAATTTTTTTTTACAAATTTTAACAAATATATTGACATAATATGTGCTTCTAACCAATTAAATCAACGAAACCAATTTTTGATTACCAATGACAATTTTAAAACATCACAGTGAGTTTTAGTTTTAAAGAAATTAAAATAAATATTATTTTCCATTATTTAAAATTTATTAAAAACAGTTTTAAAATTTCATATAACCATATAGATCCATAGATCATATAGATCCAAAATTGCGTTAATATTATTCATTATGTTTAATTGGAACTAATATAAAAATGGACATTTTATAAGAACGCTTAATCCATTGAAGGCTATAGCAGCTGGGGGTAGATCTGTACCGATGGATTGCATATACTTAAATGAATATTTTAGATAGGATGTATATATTAGTAAATAAATTAGTTTCTTATATAAAATCTTCTATCGGAAACGTAAGTTGGTATGATTCTTACCATTCAAATGTGGTAAAAATTTGTTTATAAGTCTGAAAATTTTATATAAAATTAAGAAGTATTTGAATAGTCAGTTTGTACAGAGTTTCAATCTGGACCGATCGGATCGAAATGAAGTTCAAATATACGTTTTATATAAATATGTTTTTATAATTTGAAAAGTGTATGCAAAAGTATCACTATAATTTTATTTTGGTGATATCGCTAAATTGATAGCATTCTAATGCGTCACCATCCGGGACTTGAGCATGATCAATTATCCAAAAAGTTTTCATCAGTTGCTTTTGTAATTATAGTTTCGAGTGTACTGCGATGATAGAAAACCATCGGCAAATAACTTAACGGACACCATCAAACAACTATCACACTCATCTGACTTGCTCCTGACTGTTTTGAAGAGAGTGACTCATAAGGATTGAGGTCATAAAAAAAATTCGATGAAAGAGTTGAAAACCAAATAGTCTAATAAAAATTTATTGGAGGGTTGAGTCATGTGCTGATACAGTTGTATTTCTAGCATAATCGGTGAGATCACCGATTTAAGGTTGTGAATCAAAATTAATGTTTATTGATGGATTATATTTTTGGGTTTTATTTAATATTTTAGGATACTTTGTACACAGAATCAATAGCAAATATTTTTTATTATATAAAGAACCGTATTTTAGTTAAATACTGTTATGGGTAAAATCGGAAATTCGATTTCAATTGTCTATTTCAGGATATAGTTATCTGATTTTCATAATTTAGGATCAGGCAAATGTTTAGGTCCTTTACTTAAAAATCAACATTTGAAATATCTTTTATTGCAAGAAAAAAAGTTTTAGTTAGTTCGTTGAAATGGACGAAAGAACGAATACTCTTCAATTATTTAATAAAGCAGTTTTGAATCCACAATTCCTCATAATAGTGGGTAAAAGAAGATCGAATTAGGCTAATGCTAATGCTGGAGATATCGCTGAGTGTCTTAACGAAGAGGGCGCGCAAAAGCTGAGTTCTTGTCAAGACTGGATATTAACCCAGATATTAACAGATATTAACCTAGATATTAACCTAGATATTAACAGATATTAACCTAGATACCTCTGATTTGCTTCTGTGTATCAAATAGATCAAATATATACCTCTGATTTGCTTCTGTGTATCAAATCAGAGGTATTCTGCATTTGGAATAGATTGGCTATGTACCCATTGATCTGACTGCATGTCTCAAAGAAAGGCTTTAACTTCATTTGTTTTTTTTATGTTTAAGGGACAGAAACTTCTTTAAAATGAACCGATGAACACTACACAAATATAAAACCAATATCAATTTTTTTTTTGAATCAATTAAGAGTTTTTAAATTATTTAATTAAAATATGTTAAATCTTTAAAGTTTCTGCATAGATGCTATAATTATTGAGTTATTAAAATTTAAGTACTCTCTTTCCAAAATAAATATCTGTTTATGGGGTTGTGATATGACTTGAAGATTACATTATTAAAATCATATAGTAAAAAAAAAATCGACTATTAGTTTTATAAAATACATATCTTGATTGTAAATAAAAATATATTGATCATAATTATTTAAAAAGATATTCCAAATATCCAAGAGTGACCAATGCGAAAACGACGATTTTTGTGAGAAAATATCTACATAAAGAGTGCCTTTTTTTAAACATGAACATATGAGTTTAAATCATATTTATGCTTTCTTACAGCATTTATATTTAATCTTTGTTAATCGTGTCTAAATTGATTGTAGCAAGGAATGCAGAGCCGTCGTAAGTACAACATCTGTTCGTTTATTTCCCAACCCTGTAGACTAAGTATTGAAACTTCGGGGGCTAAAGCTAACTTTTTTGTTTTTGTATTTGTTACTAACAGATATTTAATTTTTTGTAATTTATTTAATATGTTAGCTAATTTGCGTAATAATTGATATTTTCCATAATCTTATGTTATAAAAATTATAACATTGTTAAGTCATCTAATCAATGCCAAAGATATGTTTCTTCAGTATATAGCTTATAGCAAGTATAATCAAAAACAACAAAATATTTATAACAGATCTGAGGTCTGCTTTGTCTGATGAAGTGATAAACAATAATTCAGTCAAGGCGTAAAGAGGGGTTTTGAAGATACCTCGCAATTAAAAGAGAGTAAAAGTGCTCAAGTGCACTGGCTCAAATAGATTCAATATAATAATATATAAATATGTAAAAAAAATATGAAGTACTGTATATATATATTTAATTTTTTTCTTTAAATTACAATAGTACACTCATGTATCCCAAAATCGATTTTTTGATTAAGCTCTGCTTAGTACCCCTTCTACTTTGACAGGTACGAGTTCTAAGCCTGGCACTTGCAGTCCAAAACAAATTATAAACGGACTATAAACTAATTAAAATTCGATTATTTCCTAAGACCACTGATGATGAGTACTTGACAATACTCGAAACAGCGTTGTATGGTTAGCCAAATTTCAAAAAATATTTTCTATTATCATATGTTTGCAGATATAAATAAAGTACCAATCGATTGGTTATTAATATTGATATACACAAAAAAAAAACAAATGATTTAAGCCTACTTTTATAAAACCGAACGTGAACTGGCTCTTAGCCGAACTGGTTTTAAACAGGAACCTCCGAAGTTTAAAAGTAATTGAACCGAACCATTGGCTCGCAAATTTTGAACCGATGGCGAAAGCTAAATAAACCGGTTTTTTAACCGAACCAATGCTTCAGAGTATTGAATCTGAATCCAACCGCAACAAAAATTTTCACAGCCTTATAAAGCTCAGAATAATTTATAAATTGAATATCAATTACTTTTATTGATATTTTTTTTAAATATGATGATGAGCATCATCGTCATCTTATTACTAGTAATAAAACTATTCTATGATTTTTGTAATTCTAGTAGCTTTTTCTTGGATAGCATTACAGTCAACCAGAAGTTCTTGAGTTATAAAAACAAAACACCAAAAATATCTATAAAGCAATAAAGATCACAGTAGAAGATATGAGCAAATTTAATTTGAAATAAATTTTTTTATTATATACCGGCTTAAATTCTATAGATGATACAATTTCAAGATGTTGTGCAGTTGATTCTTTAATATATTAACAAAAATACATAACACACAATATTTTCAAAGAGTGTTCATGAACCAGTCATGTAGTGTATTAATTCTAAAAATACCTATTTAAATTTATTAATACCAACGAAAATAAAGGAATACATTTGTACAATTTGTGCTAATAATTTGGATTAATTTGCTCTTTGACCGAACACAGTCCTGGGTAGTGCGGATTTTTTCCGGTTTTACATCTGGAAGCAGGGTAGCCAATTGTGTAGACCGGCGTCTCAAGCGCATAAATTGAACCATAATTGCAAACAATATGATATATATAAACGATGGGATAGTCCGGCCGTGTAAAACGCATAATGGAGCAACCAACATGAGTATTTCGATCAACAACCATTTCGGCAAAATGTCCATAGTCTTCGCTATAATTTAATATTTTTTGTTTATGTAAATAATTTTTGTTTTTTTTTTGATAGAAATTAAAATAACTTACAAGTATTTGGTGACTTTAAATGAGTCTATATATGTACTGTCTATAAGTGGATACTCATCAAACCAAAGATTTAGAGATTGTTCTATTAGACTTGTTACATTCACAAAGGGTGAACGATCTCTATAGACTGCAACAAGATTTTGACCAGAGTTCTTAAATCTGTATGTGTTATGACAATCATCGTGATCCAGTATGCAAGTACGTACATTTAACGATGAAAGGTATTGCAATTCATCATCCCAAACCTGAGAAATTGTTATTGTGAAGGAGTTTATTTGTTCATCATAATACTATATAAATGTTCTTTATAAAAACCATAGCTTCCAGTTATTTGAAATTATGAAAATGTTAATAGGCAGAGAGTATTGCGAGAGATACATAGTTTTCAGTTTATGATATTTATGATATACAATAAATATATTTTAAATGTGTTGTTGATTAATTTTCAGCTTTTTAAATAATTATATATTTATTTCAAAATTGCGATGAATTTATATTGTTATATTATCTATTAATTTTATTTTTTAATATTATTAATAGTATTTTAATACATTAACATAATATGTACAAGTAGTAAAATGTACATATAATTATTAAAATTAAAATTATAAGCTAATTAATTAACTCAACCTGGTTATAATGTAAATTTACAATAATTATGGTATAGAAGCTGAAGTTTTTCATAACTTTAAAATTGAAATGTCGTTTAAAAAAATTTTTATCTACGAAATTAGATTACTAGATATTACTAGACTAATTTTGCGACTAGCAAACATATATAATATAAAGGTCTAACTCCAGATATCGGTATATAATGAGAAATTCGAAGTGGTATTGTAATTTAGATATCCAAATATACTAGTTGATTAAATATTATAGTTGATTAAATTTTTTATCTGAATTGACTTCAACATTATAATTATGTTGTATTTATCATAAAGTTCTATAAACAGATAATAACATTCAAATCAAAAATTACAACATATATATATATATGTGAGACATAATAAGGATTAATGTCTGAAATAATCAATGAGAGATAGTAGTGAGAATTAAGTTAATATTAAAAATAATAATTTAATATTAATATAAATAAATAATAATTCTAATATAATAAAATCTTTTAAAAACCAAAAAATTTTTTAAAAATTTATTACTTTTATTTTTATATAAATTTTTATAACTCTTTATAATTATTTATAAATTTTTATAGTTATTTATAATTTTTTTTAATTATTCGTTATGATTTATACCTATTTATTATAACTAATTTTAATTTTTTATATTTATTTAAAAATATTTATAATTATTTATAAATGTTTGCAATTATTTATAAATATTAATAGTTATTAACAATTATTTATAGTTACTTTTACTTATTTTCAATTATTTATAATTATTTATTATTATTTATATTAATTAAATAATATAGTTATTATTTAAATAATATATTATTTATAAATGTATTTATATTTATTTTATTATTTATTTTTTTTGTTATATGATTTAAATTTATTACTCGATACTACTCCTTTTATGACATTTATTGTGCTATTAAGAATTTAAATGAAGTGTGTATTACAAGAGGTTAAAGAAGTTATAGTACACCGCGACCTATGACTGTTGTTTTGTTATACTTCCCGAAAGTATTCTAGCTTAGCATTGTTCAGGAAAGTATCATTATGTTTCCTAAAGAAATACTTTACGAAAGTATCCTAAGCTAACTCGGAGGCTATTGATATGTCAAATAATGTCCTCACCTTCAAGGTTTCAGACCTTATTTTGTTGAATATATTTAATTTTGAATAAATTAAATAAGGTTTTACAGGTTCTTTAATTAAAAGTATGAATTTTAATTATTCTATAAATACTTTCACTTTTGTTTTTAATAAAAATTATAAATTAATTCATTTCATTAATTATGAATTAAAAATTTATTTATTATATATATTGGTCATTAACTTACCATTGTTGCCATCCTCGAAGCTGGATAATATCCAGGTAGTAAACCCAGAGCAATAAAATTTCGACGCTTATTGTGTTCATGTACGAAGACAGATTTATATGCCGATACATCCACATCTACAGAGTCTGGTTTACAACGCCGATGGAATGCCTAAAATAGTGATATAAAGAGACAGATATAATATTATATATTATATATATATAATAATTAAAATTATTATATATTATACAATATTTAATAAGTAAATAAATTATTAAGGAATATTAAAATAATATTAATTCAATGTGTAGGAGTAAATTGAAATATATAATATAATAGTTAATAATTTGATAAATCATTGAACGAATGGAAAAAATTATTATAATTAAACAACTTTAGTTTATTATTAATATAATCATTTTGTAACCCAGTTTCGTTAAGATTTTTTTGTTTAATTATAAGAAAAATCTAAAATACTTACTCCAGTTGTCCGACAGGCAATATGTTTTAAGCCATCTTGACAGAGTTCAGGATCACACCATGAATAATCCTTCTCCGCCCCCACAAAATTTATTAATAAAAAACTTAACAATATCATTTGCAACATTTTAAAAATATTAATAAAATTTTTAATAAGTATTAAATGACTTTTTAAATTTTAATATATTTATTTAATGCTGTACGGTGAGTTCTCCGAACCGCTTTTATAGTCAACGCGTGTTATAGCAATTTTATGACAAAATTTAATTCATTAAAAACCAAATTGATAATAAAAATTAAATAATATAGCACTTTCCCTGGTTAACAGCGAACGGTAGGTAAGTGTGCCTGTCAACCGACTAATACAGAATGAAGAGCGCAAGAGCTTTGATAATCTAACAAGGCTTTCTAAAACTAGTTGAATCGAAGATTAGTGTATAAGAACAAGTTTAGAAGCACTTAATTAAAAAAATAAGAAAAAATTTTTATATATAAATAAACAAAAAATATTTAAATATTGGGGGAGAATATAAATTTATCGATGTTCGGAAATTACACATAAATAACATAAAAAATTGTTACGTCCAATCAATTTTACACACAACATTGTTTTATGTTATGAATTGTAAAGATACGAGATAGCTTACTTATATTTTGTATTAAACTAATCATTGATAGTTATAGTAAATAACTATTAATTTATTATTAAAATATTCATAATTAATATGAAGAGCTTTAAATATTTTTATTGGGTACTAATACGATATGTCGACCGGATAGGGCTGCTTTCAAAGACTGTTGCCGAAGTTGTGGTTCAGACTAACTAACAACAAATACTGTTGGAATATTTTAAGTATTAACCATACGTCATATATAAATAGGGTTAATTTAGATTGTCATGATTTACAATCCATTGAAGACAGTGTGTTTCTTATGTTTTTTAAATATTAAACATTATTAAATCTTATTAATCTTATTTTTTTTTTTAAAGAAACACATGATATTAAATAATGACACTATTCCAATTTGGCAATAATGTATAGCTAGCGGTTAAGAGGAAAACTTACTTATTCAGAAACCCATTTTCCACTTATTTAAAAAAAAATTGTGTGTTTTACACAATTAATACCTGATGTCATCCCATTACTTTTATGATATATTATTTACAACATGTATTGCTTATGTTAAATATCAATGTACAGATTGTTTTCTTACAAATCATAATATACCATATACAGGAGGGGATTCCTTGAGCTTAAAAAAAAATAGTCTAGGAAGAAAAACAGTTAAATCAAATATTTTAATTTAATCACGATTTTTAAGTCCATTAGACATTTTTTTAATTCGATATTTAAAATCAATTTTGACTGAAATAGATTCAAAGAGTAATATACCACAAAATTGAAAAACTTTCAAAAATTTTTCTAGAAAACCTTATTTTTTCAAAATATTTTTTATAGTTTATGCTTCGTATATTAATATCTTACAACCTATTAAAAAACTCAAGTCCATTCTTAATTTCATTTAAATTAAAAGCAATACTTTTGCCATCTACAATTTTGTATAGAGACCGAAAGAAATAAAATTGTACCAGATGTGGAGAATGTTGTGGTTATGGCAATATTTTTTATCCAAATTATAAAAGTTTTTGATTCTTTTTACTAAACTTGTAAAACATCTCATAACATATTATCTTAGTGGAACAGTGCAGCCTTTCTATTGAACAATTTTTGACTTTTCTGTTTAAGTGTATTATTGAATATGCCCAGATAATGACAATACCTTTTAAAATTGATCATGAAGTTGTCTGGTAGTAACTCAAATAATGATGTCTTTAAAATCCAACTAAACAAATAGTATCAACTTTTTTTGGGGGGGAATATCTACGTTCGTAGTGCTTTAAGCTGGTTCATCTTTATAATTTGTTGATTTTGAAAGTTTAAAATTATTGTAGACAATAATCACTACTCTCTTTAATGATATTTATTTTCAAAAATGGATCACTTTCTTGACTTTTACAAAACACAAAAACAAATTTCTTTGTGTAAGAGCGTAAGGAATATATATGTCGTATTTTGAGATTAACCCTGGGCATTTCAAATGCTCATGAAGGGTCGAGTTCAATAAATTTGATCTCTGAACGATCTTATAACATAAGTTGTTCATTATTTTTAACTGGACTTTCAGAGCGTTCTTTATACATATGGGATTAACAGAATGTGTAAACCTTTTCCGAAACCAAAAATTCTCGAAAAGACCGTAAACCGAAAATTCTGCTTTTAACTTTCTATATTTAAAAAGACACAAATCAGAAAATACTGTATAAAATCATTCGAATTATTTCACAAGCAAGTCGAACTTTCAGATCTTTTTGAAATACATAATTACATTGTTAGATAATTGGATTAGCTTGTTAGACTGTTAGACTGTATTTCAATATTTTTTTTTGAATTATTTCTAATAAATCAATTATTTCTTGAATTATTATTGATAAATGGTCCATCAGTACTTCAACAAATATATATATATACGACTTTATTTTAAGAATCCATAAGGATTAAGTGATCGAAAGTAAAATAAAAAAATGGAAGTGATGACTTTTTTTTTGAAATGTTTATTTTTTTTAATAAATTATATTTTATATTAAAGATTAAAGTGTTGAAAAATTAAATGGATTAAAAATTGATTAAGAATATTTAAAAAAAAATAAATAAATGTTAAAAGCTCAGAATAATAATGAATTATTTTTCAAGTTCTTCACTAGTACATTATTATAGATCTTGAAAGAAAATAAACTATTTATTTAATAATTTTTGTTATGGCAATTGTTAGTAGATAAATTACCAAATATTTAGACCAAACATAACAAATATAGATTTTATTATGCAGAGATATATGGTGTGCAGTATCTATAAAATTCCGAAGTAAATTTAGTCTTAAAATTTACGTTCAATTGTTAAAATTTTCCTATCTTAATTAATAAAAGACCTATTTTGGACTTTTAATGGTGAATGCTAAAGTTTAGCACACGTTCCAGTTAAATATCGGTGTGTAATATTTTTCATATACACGAAATCTCTGAACATATACAAAAAATTAAAATCATCAGTTAAATATATTTTGTAAAATATAAATCGTTTGCTTTCTGATCACTCTTTTTGTACCCTACATACCAGTAAAGGTTAATAATATGGTATATTTATTTCTAAATATAGCGATAATTCTAATATTTGAAGTTAATTTTCTCAAAAATCTGCAGGAAAAAGTAATAACCATTGATAGAAATGACTACAAAGACACAGTTTAATATTATTAGACGTTAGACAGTAGTGGTATTTATGGGACTGCATCGCCGCAACCAGACTTTATTAAAGGAGTCTGGAGCATTGCATCTAAATCTGGATGTATGACATTTAAAATATTGTTTGCAGAGTTGAGCAAATCCATCAGTTGTATAATACGAAATCAAAAAATACAAATGGTATTCATTGCTAACTAAATAGATTATAAAAGACATCCGTCCCTTGTATCAATCAGCTCGTTTCACATTTATATATACTTAATTTCGAACAGGCATATAATTTATATTAATTGTCTTGTTCAGATTCTAAACTCCACTTAAAGTTAATGGAAAAGAAAAGTACAGAAAATTTATTAAAATATCTCTAAAGAACAAACGAATCAATTAAACAATTTTGATCTATCTGTCCAGCCTTTCCATTTTTTGACTGTTTGTCTACCTGTTGTCTATTAATAATCTCTTAATTTTTTGTCTGTATGTTAATATGGGTAAATTAAGTAAAAAATTTGCTTGATTATATTATATACTCCTTACTCATACTTTGCTAAAACTGATCTTATGTTCATAAATATATGGTTTGAAATTTTCGTTAATAAAGAATGGAGTACATGGTATCCTAAATTAGTCATTGCCTTAGTCAAATGAATGGTATATAAGGATTCTGTGTACAATTACATAGTTATCTTGAGATGTTGAGAATATTATAATTAAAGGTTTTTCTCAGATAAACTTTTCATTAAAACCTCATAAATTGGTTAATATTAAGTATGGATCTCTTCTTCCAACCAGTTTTTTTTTGTTTCTTTCTTAATTTCAAGGCCTTGTCCACCTATGTGGTATTGATTAAAGAGTTTCTTGTGATGGTAGAAAAAATATTGTTTAATAGTTTCTTTCTTCATTTTGAGGCATCGCCCACCTATGTCGTATTGATATAGAGCTTCTTGTTAGGGTAGAAAAAATATTTTTTAGTAGTTAATAATTGATTTGCAAAACATAACTATTGATGTGAAAGATATTGGGCTTCGATGAACTTAATTTTTAATTTTTTTTAAATATTGTAGAAGGAATATAGGCAATATTATGATTAAGACTAATAACAATTAAATAATAGTTGTATTTTTGGACAAAAATTAATGAAAAATCAATAAACAAATTTATTTTATTGATCTGATTTATGATAAGCCACCATTATATCAATATCCTGTGCATTCAAATTATAGATTTAAGAACAAAACCTATTTCAGATGACTTGGCGGAATTTCTTTGAAAATCATCGATTCATCTCTAATTAAAAATGGACGTACGTTTTTATGAAATCTTTAATTAATTATATGTTTGTAATCTGGAAGTTTCCCATTAAAAAAAAAATGACAATAAATTAAAATTATTGCAGCGGTCATTTAATTGTATATTTTCATAAAATTCCGAATTAAAAAAATTTATACGAACTTTTACCATCATGAGTTGGCAAATCTTAGAAATTACCGGGTTTTTACAGTACAATCTACCTATATATTTATTTTAATGGTTAGGTGGAAACAAAGTCAAAGACTTTTATCAACTAAAATAACCTGTTAAGAGAATTTGGTGAAAAATTAATCCATTCACAGGTCGACTTTTTAATTAAATTTATATGCTTTTAATGAATTCTTTTCGGGGGTTTTTTAAAAGTGAAATGATTTACTTAATATATATAACTAATCGGTAAACTTAACATGCCGATTTGTTTAGAACAGCACTACGATTCTTTTATTTTCCGATTTCATAATTGTTATTTTTATTTTATTTTATTTATATTTTATA